TTTTGACGTTAAGCCAAAAAAAAAAAAAAAAAAAGCTGTAAATATCTCGAGCACATTCGCAAGCTCTATGCTGTTTAAAAAAAACAATTTCAGAAATTATTATAATGGTTTCGGGGGGGGGGGCGGACAGCAGTTAACAAACGATTTTTCTAATGTATGAAATTAAAAAGACCTATAGCTCCACTTCCACATTTCATTACTTACACCTTAAGTACAAATAACCACACATATTCCCCCCCCCCCTCCGGGTTTATAAATCACTTCTTTCACTATTTGGTAGGTATTCTAGCCTTCTCGCCATCATTATCTGATATTATTAAAAGCAAAATCTTTCATCAGCTCCAATAGTTCGCAGTTGGACGAGTTCCAACTCCTGCCTGCACAGCCACACACTTAAAAATTAGGACATAGCACCCTATACGATCAGCAAGGAAATAGCTGGAACCAGTGCCCTGCCAGCCGATCTGAAAAAGCACATTTTGAAGCCTTAATTATGAATGAAAAGGCAAGTGATTCAGCTGGACCCCTGACTCGGAGGGCTAACTCTTAATGTTCATCGGAGGTCCTGGGTTCTGAGCAGCATGCTTCCCAATGAGAAAGGTCATTCCTCACAAACAGCGTCTAAAGGAAAAGTACCATCCACAGCAGCCCCCAGAACCGAGACAAGCCACGATTTAAAAGCATATTGCAGGGGAAAAGAAAAAAAAAAGAAAAAAAAAAAAGCAAAAAGGAGGAAAAAAAGAGATAAATCCTAAGCTTCAGAGAACAGCACATTTGTGTTTACAGACCTGCTATGAAATCCTGCTCACCTAAGCTGATTTCTTTTCATCTCAGCTCTCTCATTCCTTGCCTCCTCCCCACGAAGTTACAAAATGTTAGCAAACTCGCAGCCCGTTTGACATTGAGGGTGATCCCCGATTGAAATCATGGTTTTGACCAGTTTTATTTCAAGTACGTCATTTTAGGGAGTTGGAGCCACTAAAGTTATAAAATATGGCATCCAACGAGTTTGAAAAACCACTCGAATTTCATCCACCAGCCTGTTTAAAACGTTGTCTTTTTTGGAAACCCGGGTCACGTAGGTACCAGTGATGAAATATTTTCTCCCTCTCTGGATACCAACCTGCAGCGCAGTCCTCCCAAATCCATTTTGTGCATTGACGTTTACATTCTTTTGCAACAAATTAGTAAGTTGCACTAGGTCCCCCTTGGCAGCCGCGGACGCCAGCTCGTTCCCAGAAGGCTCGGCCATTCTTTAGGGTGACTGACGATCGGAAAAAAGATGAGATTTTTTTTTTTTTTTTTTTTTTTTTTTTTTACCCAGGCATGGCATCGGAGACTGACAGAAGGATTGGGATGGTTAATCTTCTGGAGTAGACCTTGTAGTAAATACTCGTAAAAAACCTCCTTGCCAAGAGCCCGCCCCTAACTCACACGTGATTATTCAGCAAAACTGCAGCTCCACTTGAAAGAAGATTTCTTTGCTTCCACATATAGAGTAACTCCTATTACAGACTTTGGCCACTTTCGCGGGGGGGGTATAGATTAAAAGCTATGCAATATATCATATATGTTACAGGTAACATATATATACACGTACACCGGAGACTCACTCAGACCTGAGATCTTTGAAGAAGAAGACAACCCACCCTGTTCACAGTTGGGATCTGAGACTTTAGCAGCAACAGCTCGGAGGAAAAGTCTTCTGTAGCAGTGTGCATCCACTCCCGCTCGGGATCCCCCCTTTCATCCCACACCGCCGCCTCTAGTCCGGGCCGAGCAGGGACGAGAAGGACGATCCG